CTCAATTCTTAGTTACTTAATTTTACATAAATACTTTATAAAATTGATTTAACAAATCAAGTTGTTGTAAACACTTTTAAGAAATATAAAAGGATTTATTGATGAAGATTATTGTAAAAAATAATAATAAATGTGATTAATTATAAAAATGTTTAAATATATTTTAAAATATCCTTTTTCATCATTTAAAAAGTTTTTTAAAAATTGTTTACATAATTTCCAATTAATTATCTTCAAACTAATGGTGATGAGTCAATTATAATTAAATTAATTCTAAAATTACTTATTTAAAATTGAAAAATTTCCATACTTTCAAGATGGTTTGAGTGATAACGTGCTAATTTCTGTTTTGATAGAAAAAATAATAATAAAAAAAAGAAAGTTAAAAATTAAACCAAAAATCTCGAGTTGCGTGGCTCATAATTTGAAAATAAGAGAAATTTTCTAGAAGCAACTGTATCATAAACGATTTTGGATTTCTTCAATAAATTCTATCGACTGATTCTATATATATATATATATATATGTACTTTTAATTTCATCAATATTATCCATTTTTGGAAAGAATTTAACGATAAATTATTTCGTATGTTGCTTAGAAAATTGATCCTAAAAATACATTTCACTCGAGCAATATGGATCACCGCCATCAACAATTTAATGCTATTCGTTTAACTTGTAAGACATAATGCTATTTATAGATCGCGGTCTATAGGTTGAAGAATATGAAATTTTTGGAGACTAGATATTTTTATATTAAAATAAGAGATTCGTAACCATTTTTCTTCCTTTTTTTTTTTTTTGTTTAAAACAGTTTAAAATCCGCTTTTATGACAATGTACTCTGTTTAATGCTAGTATTTTAGGGACGCTTTTAAAAATCTTTTCACCGTATGGATATTAAGAGGATGTTTTAAATAGTTCATACAAGAGTGCTAACGCTAGAATTACTCTGTATTGAGAGTCGTTACTTCCAGAATGGCTTGAGGGTAACTAGTATCTGAAGCGTTTTCGCCTCATGCTACTTGTAATCATCAAGCCGGCACTGTGTAAGGACATGTCCTTACGCAAAGGAATGGTTATATTTATGTGAGAGTGAGTTCATTGTAAGGACATCGCTTAAAAATGGTTAACAACATTGATCATTCATACATTGAAACTCATTTTGTGTGGTTCTAGTCCGTTTTCTACGGGCTACGAGAACTCAAATTGCAACCACCACCATACAAATATGTTCAAACATATATTGTTTTTCCTGGCAACTATTATGCATCCTGTGCAATTATTAGTCAGAGATTACGATAGAAAAGTATTATACAACCTAACTGATAAGGCCCTAGCAGATGGCTGTGAAGAAACAGGAAAGTCTAGTTCAGTGTTTTTCAACCTGTGGGTCGCAAAGCCTCACACGGAGGGTCGCGGGTAAAAGAAAAAGACAAGTGTTTGTAGGTCCTACACTACAATAAATAAAACTACAATTTCAGTGAGAAGGCTTTGCGTTTTTATTTTAAAGTACAATTGGTTTTTCGATCGATATTTAGGTCTCAACAGAAAGAGAATTAAATACGTAGTTTTTAAATCACTGATATAGTTTTAATATGGTCCTGGGGGGTCGCCAGAATTTTTTTAACTTGTAAAGGGGTCGCGTATTCAAGAAGGTTGAAAAACACTGGTCTAGTTAATGATGTATCCCGTTACACAATGGAAAAGAATATCTTAGAAAGACAATCAACAAAAGCCGTAACTTGCGGGTAACCTACAGAAAGTAGTATCTTCAATCTTATGACTAAAGATACTACTTTATATAGCCTAAAGATACTTATTAGTATTAAACATCTTATGGCACAGTACGGTTGTTGAAGTATTATTTAACTGTGATTTATTGATTCTGTAGCGGTCTTTGTCTCATCGGAAATAAAGATTTCAGGATGCATGAGGAGAATCACATTCAAACTATTTGTTTGGTTTTCGCAAAAGAGTTAGCTTCATTTGTAAACATGTCAGTGCATCATAATTTACTTAATTATTAAGCTAGTCATTACAATTTCTTACTATTATGCTCTCTGTGAATTCGATGCCAAATAACTTATCTTCTATTGTTTACCCGCACAAACAACGAGGAACTAAACAGATGCACCCACCACCTCATTGACGCACGGGTATAGCCTATACTCAGCCTATATAAGTCGTCTTGATAAATGCAGAACACTGAAACAATATATTAATAATAAGCAACGAAACAAGGCCCTTAATAAACAAGGTCCAAGTAGACAAGGGTATATATCGTCTTATAAAATAAAGTTTCTAAGATAAAAAAATTTACATTTTCTGATATGTATTCAGTTTTTATTTAATATATTTTCAATAACGTGACTGAATGAAATAGCAAAGTTTGACTCACATATTATATAAGACAGTGACGTGCAGGGTTTTATGTAATCCTGTACAATATAGATTATATAATTAACTGCAAATTCTATATCGATAATGTGTAAAATTTATACATATAGGCCTATATAAAAAATAAGACTAAGAGGAGAATTTAGCTTAAAAATATATTTAAATCTCTCCCCATAAAGGAATAAAATTTAAAAATTATAAAAAAAAAAAAAAAAAAATTTGTAAAATTTCAAAACCCAACAGCCTCCAAAAAAGGTTAAAACTCACGTTCTAAACCATAACATATAAGGTCTTTACCCCTTCAGCAAATAATAAATTAAAAACGTCAGGCTCTAAATTATATCTAAGAACTTGAGGTCCTGACTTGTAGCTTATATGTAAATGAGGGGCCCTGATGGTTTCTATAAGAAGTTTGTAATTAAACACAATTTTATAAATTAGATTTAGCATTATAAACGATATAGAAATTTTTCTTGATAATAAGCTTTATAGTGGTTTTAATTTTGATAATTATAATAATTGTTTTAATATATATTTATTGTTTAAATTAATTCTTCTCGACATGTTTTTATATAGAATTTAAGCATATTTTTTTAATAGANTTTGATAATTATAATAATTGTTTTAATATATATTTATTGTTTAAATTAATTCTTCTCGACATGTTTTTATATAGAATTTAAGCATATTTTTTTAATAGAGGTAATTAATTATTCCAACAGTTGACGTCAAAGATCTTTACACGATGACGTAAAAGGTCAATCGTGCTACGATTTAACCCAAATATACAGGATATAGCCACTATATTTTAGTTTAAAACTATAAAATAGGAAAGATATCTCTCAATCTTATCTCTTCGAAAACAACACGCGCCGAGACGAGACATAACGCATTGAAATATCCATATTACCCTCTTAAACAACGCAAGTTTTATCAAATATAATCATAATAATTTAAATTTGAGTATAAATTTTTATTTTATAAAAAAAAATAGAGAACTCTGTTTTATTACTAAAAAGTTCATATTGATTACATCACACTATAAAAAAATTTGTTATAAAAATATTTAAGAATCTTAGATAGTTGCCAAAATAATTAATACAAATTTCATTGCTTAATGAAGAGAATAAATGAGTTATAATTCGAAAATTTTCCGTCATTAACGAGACCCTTAGCATCTGCACGACCGCATACCATTGGAAATGGGAGACGAGGCGATCTCAGTGGGTAACTTCACTTCCGACAGTGAGACTGTGGGACCACTCACTATTTTTAGAACTCCGTCTTAATTGGATTGATCACCCATGGACGATTTGTATCTATATTTAGATCATACTAACACCCTTCACCTTGATCAAATTATATAGATATTACAGGGGATTACTATTTTTAACTTCAGGTGATTCACCCAGATGAATATTTAATATTTACATATTAAACTTGTTTACAACTCTTAATAAATTTTAAAATTGAAATAAAACTTTTTTTTTTAACAGAACTTATGCGGCGAGAAATAAAGTTCTTCTTTCCTTATTCTTGAGAACTTGAAGAAGCTTAAATTTTAAGTTAAAATCTTAAAGTATACAATAAGAGAATAAATTGAAGTAAAAATATTTATCTTAGTTATTTTATTTTAGTATTGTTAAAATAGCTTAATTTAATTACTTTAATTATAATAAAGTACAGTATTTTCCAGTTCAATATTATTATGCTCTGCTAGAAAATACTGCGCAGAATACATTATTTGTGGCATAATATGTAGACTTATTGTTGTAATATAACAAAAACATTATCAGTTATATAGATAAAGAATTTTGAGAACAATTTACATATGATTAATTATATAAAGAGATACCTTCCTGGATAAAAATAATAAGCGATCAATTTATCAAGCACGTTTCATTATTATATAATATAGAATAGAAGATGTATAATATTTAAAAAACACGTTTCACTGTTATGTTAAAGTTATATAAAAACTTTAGAAAAAGCATTTCTATTATAACAATTAAATTATATAATACTTTCGAGTAAAGATTTCATAGCTTACCAGATATTGTGTAGACTAAGAATGTCAAGCGTATCGACTGTTTTAAACGTGAAACGAATAATTGNTATATTTAAACATTGAATATGGAATTTACAACTGAGACGTAATTATTATAAAAAATTTTTAAGGTTACTGATTTGAAAACATTTTAATTTTCGGTAAACAAGAAATAAAACAAAGTATTTAAATTATAATTAAGTACGAAATAAGTCATTCGCAATTTCAGATTTCATTAAGCTCATAAGGAAAAAAGGATAAAGAGACAAGATGGATTCTAAAATGGCGTCGAGAAAAGTCAAAATAAATGCATTTTTCTCATTAAACTTGCTCAAAAATTTAAAAAAAATCATTATAATTTATAAAAATTTAATAATACTTACTTAAAAATATGTAAATATTTGTAATGAAAGGTAAAATATATTCTCGGGGCCATTTTTTTTTCCCTCAGCAGGTGCGAACATTCAAATAGTTAGTCCAATCTCATCTTAAGGCATGTATCCAATCAGATAGGTTGAAGTTAGTATAGACAGAAACAAATTTAATAATCTCAATGAATATTGATGATTATTCGAATTGGTGTGGTCAAAAATAGAAATGTTTCGGAATTTCGTCTTGACTCCCCAACAATATTAAAGAACACCTGTAGAGACCATAAACCTTTATATATCCTACCAATACAGTCTATTACCATATCGAGAGAACCACTATCAAGAAGAAATCGCACGAACATAGGCCTAAAACTACGCAAGCCGAAATCAATTGGATACAAGGTTAGATATCAATTCATTTTTACATTTCACCAAATTAATTTTTATATAATTTATAATATTGAAGATTACATTTTCTTTTTCTTTAGTAAAATAATGAATAACCCCGAGCTTTACGCGAAATCGAATCCTTTTCAACTTCGCGATGCCAAGATGGTTCTTAGTTCTTTTGCTCCTCAAATGGAAGAAACAACGGATACAGATTCGATTTTGGATATCGGATGCGGAGTGGGAAACGTTACTAATACGATTTTAAGGCCGATATTTTCTAAATACAGAAGAATAATCGGCGTAGACAAGTCTACGGAGATGGTCGATTTTGCTCGCCGCCATAACGCGCAAGATAAAATTGCCTACGAGCGTTTAGACATTTGTGAAGACGTTGAAAATTTTAAAAATACTTGGGGATGTTTTTCCAAAATATTTTCTTTTTATTGTTTGCATTGGATCAAAGATCATCGGAAAGTCTTAAAGAATATCGACAAGTTATTATCCACTAACGGAGAATGCCTTTTGGTTTTTGTCGCGCAGTGTCCCGTCTTCGAATTATACGAAATCATGGCGACATTACCGAAATGGAAAAACGTAATGAATGTAAGTAGATTTTTATTAAATTTATCTAAATCGAAATCCATACGTGAATTTATTTAACTGAAATAATTTTTTTTTTTTCTATATTTTAGGATGTAGAAAATTTCATACCCGACACACAACATTCGTTACAACCTGTATTCGATTTCAGTAAATTAATGAAAGAAAGCGGGTTAGAAGTCTTGAGTTGTGAAACCATGCACATGGAATTCACTTTTAACAGCATCGATATTTTAAAAAGTAAAATAAATTTCGTTAAATCAAAATAGAATCGAATTAAAAAAAAAATAGAATCATTTTAATTGAATTTTCTTGTTTTCTTTCTTAGACTGTGTTTGCGCAATTTCCCCGTTTGTGAGCAGAATACCCGAACACGATAAAGAATCATATATCTCGGATTCACTAAAAATACTCTCGGCATTGGCTACACACGAAAGAGATGCGAACGACAACGAAGGTTACGGATTTTCCTACAAATTGATGATCGCCAGAGGAAGGAAATTATAGTCATTCGCGATGTAAACTGTATTTATAAGATTCCTGTAAATTATTTAATGTTTATATATCAATAAAAGTTTTTTATTTTATGGTTTAGTATCGTGGGTATTAGATAACACTAGAACATTTTCAAATCGGACACGTTAAAGACGTGATTTTAAGCAATATTGATTGAAATTCTATAAAAATTTTCGTTAATCTTATTTGGAATTTAATTAATTTGATACTTTCTTAATTTATTTTCTAATAAACAGAATTCCTTTACCGATTTCTAATTAAATCAATAAAGTTCTTAGTAGTACTTCTAGAAAATCGTTACATAAATTATTCAGAGTACAACAAAAAAATAATAATAATAATTTTAAATCATTAATATTTATAAATTCGAATATTTCGAGTTATATAATTAAAGAAATCCGTTTACAACTTCTTTAAAATTAATATTTTTAAAAACATTTTATAATAAACGAAAGACTTGATCATAGTTCTGTAGATAAAGTAGATTTAGAATCACGCAAATCTTTACGCGAACTAAAAATAAAAACCTTTGAAGTTAATATAAAACCTTAAAGTATAATAAATATGTTTGGCTTTTCTTTACTAAATATTTATTTTTAAAATATGTAATTAAGTTAAAGACGGTTCGTTAGCTTAAAATAGTAAACATCCTTCAAAGGCGGAAAATTTTGTAAATAAACGTTTTTATTATTTTTTTTAAATATTTTAGATTAACTATAAAAATAGCAATACAAATTAAGGGAAGTTTGCCTAATGTCTGGGTAATATGTTAATAGAAGCGAATGGAAGAATTCGATAGAGAAAATGTTATAACCAAATCTCAGTCCATTACATAACCTTCCGTAATGATCTATTATTCATATAAAACGAACATTTGCTTATTAAATTGGACTCGTGCTGTTCATAAATTCACCTTTCCATCATTATTTCAAATAAATTCAGTTATATTTAGAAACATTAACAACTTTAGTAGTTTGGTTCTAAAAATAGAATCTATTAGGCATTACACGTTTGCCTCATCACTTAAACTCGTTAAGAGATGATCATTTTATCCATTTTTATGGAATTTATATATAAGAATAAATTACTATAATTTTAATTAGAGTAGTCTAAATTTTAAAAAAAATATATAATAATATTCTTAAAGTTATTATATAAACTTTTTATATTTTATATCTAAAACGCTATAAGTAATACTGTATTTTTAGTAAATAATTTAATCAAGTTATATAACTTAATATACAGCATTCGTTGTCAATAAGGAGTTATATAAAAAGATCGTCCTTGGTTAGGTAAGAATAATTAATCTCTAGAAACGATTAACTTACAGAATATTTACAGCAATCAATTTTATGGCGAGTGTCCTTGTACTTATAATTAATTCTTAGAGTGAATTAGACAAATAATCTTCACTAAAGCTCTGAGTCTCATTAAACAACTTATTATTTAATCCTAGAGAAAAATCAGTCATTATATAAGTACTATTAATTGCGCGATGTAATAAGAACATTTTAAAAATCTTATATTAATTAAATGCGATCTTTCGTAATTTACGTATTTAAATAAAGATTATTATAATTTGCCGATAAAATAATTTAAATAATACTGTTTAAATTTGCTTCGTATCTTCAGTCTGCTAACATTTGTTCACAGGCAATAATAGTTTTTCGATTAAATTCGTATATATTAATTATAATTAAAAATGTAATTTTAATCCGTAATAAATGAAATTAAAGTGATTTTTGAACCATTAACAATTAGATTTATTGTATAAATGCCATTAAGGATGGCCGAATGGCCAATGGTATTAAGGCGTCAACGAGGGGACTCTGAATTGAATCAGAGCAAGCAATCCGAGGAATTTTTAACGGGCGATCTATCTCAAATATGCCTCGTCCTTCACCACTATTGTGGGCTTGGTCAAATCCATGGTGCTCCCGAAAAAGCCCTTAATACCCACAGTAGTGTTGCCATCTTTTCAAAATCGCTGACCCGGACGGCAGGTCAGGTTTGTTCGAACAGAAGTTCCTGACACATGCGCAATGTCATTTTACAATGCAAAGAATAAAGTGCATGCCGGTTCTAAATCAGTTACAGTTAGGGACTAGGAACTTGCGTAGGGGTAACGTAAGTAACCCTACATTAAGATGACAACAGATACAGATACAACAGGTACTTTACAGATGACTTGGCTCTATTGGATATTGTTGGAGACGTGTACGATCGTACGTGCAAAATAAAAAAAATCGACAGGTTGCACGCTACACGTCGGCGTAAACAGACTAACATGGCAAAATTACAGACGAATTTCAGTGAGTGCGAGTTCTTTCGCTGTTAAAATAGTGTAAATTTGTAAAAATATTTGAAAGAACTTTGTTTCATCGTAATTTCACAATTTCTACGAAATTCCCGGACAAAATTAATAATTCACCCGGACAGTGAGTCAATTCCCGGACTGTCCGGGTGAAAACCGGACGGGTGGTAACACTAACCCACAGAGCGAAAACAGTAAAAAGACTGAAAGGTAAAAAATGTGTATTATTACAGTAGACTTATAACATAACGATTTAAATATTCGATCGAATGTTTTTATGTAACATGCTTTTAAGATAATAACTTTAAACAGTTATTTGGTAGATTCCAGATCATAATAGATGAAAAGCTGTTATAAAATCCATATTTTATACGTCTAAATCCATTTTTTACTATATATTCGTAGATTAGGAAACAAAATTAGTCCTTCTTTGTCTTCAGCCTATACCAGATGAACAAAAAGTCACGTTTCTTATAGAATTGCATCATATGAAACTTAAGTTGAAGGAAATGACCGTTTAAGAAATAGTCTAGTTCAGTTTTTTCAACCTGTGGGTCGCGACCCCCAGGGGTCGCAAAGCGGGGGGTCGACACGGGGGGTCGCGGGTAAAAGAAAAAGACAAGTGTTTGTAGGTCCTACACTACAATAAATAAAACTACAATTTCAGTGAGAAGGCTTTGCGTTTTTATTTTAAAGTACAATTGGTTTTTCGATCGATATTTAGGTCTCAACAGAAAGAGAATTAAATACGTAGTTTTTAAATCACTGATATAGTTTTAATATGGTCCTGGGGGGTCGCCAGAATTTTTTTAACTTGTAAAGGGGTCGCGTATTCAAGAAGGTTGAAAAACACTGGTCTAGTTAATGATGTATCCCGTTACACAATGGAAAAGAATATCTTAGAAAGACAATCAACAAAAGCCGTAACTTGCGGGTAACCTACAGAAAGTAGTATCTTCAATCTTATGACTAAAGATACTACTTTATATAGCCTAAAGATACTTATTAGTATTAAACATCTTATGGCACAGTACGGTTGTTGAAGTATTATTTAACTGTGATTTATTGATTCTGTAGCGGTCTTTGTCTCATCGGAAATAAAGATTTCAGGATGCATGAGGAGAATCACATTCAAACTATTTGTTTGGTTTTCGCAAAAGAGTTAGCTTCATTTGTAAACATGTCAGTGCATCATAATTTACTTAATTATTAAGCTAGTCATTACAATTTCTTACTATTATGCTCTCTGTGAATTCGATGCCAAATAACTTATCTTCTATTGTTTACCCGCACAAACAACGAGGAACTAAACAGATGCACCCACAACCTCATTGACGCACGGGTATAGCCTATACTCAGCCTATATAAGTCGTCTTGATAAATGCAGAACACTGAAACAATATATTAATAATAAGCAACGAAACAAGGCCCTTAATAAACAAGGTCCAAGTAGACAAGGACACCAACAGAAATTGATAAGAGTAAGGACAGAAGTAAACAGAAATTCTACAAATGTAGTCTACTGTACTGTACATTTAAGTAGGCTGTATATATCGTTCTTCCCATTGTTAATATAGCCTAAGTATTTTATTCATATATGAGAGCTTCAAAAATATATTCGATTTTAAAATAGATTTATATTCCACGTATACCGAATACATTATTTTTAATTAATTATTATTTTTTGTTCTTCCCATTGTTAATATAGCCTAAGTATTTTATTCATATATGAGAGCTTCAAAAATATATTCGATTTTAAAATACTTAAAAATTCCACGTATTACAATATTTATTATTTATTAATACTTACTGATTACATGAAGTTGGTGGGAAAAAATAAATTACGAATATTTGATAACGCATAATAGACTAATTGTGTCTAATAAAACCCCATTCCAGGTTAATAATTCATTAAAATATATTGTCGTTGAGACCTCCTCATTCTATATTTATAAGAACTGTTAAGAAAATTAAAATAAAAATCGAGCTACTACATAAAAGATGAACGAAGTTACGCAAACAAAATGTAATAATTATTATTAAAAGTTTTTCTTATGAAAGATATAAACTCTAACAATCAAAAAAGAATGTTGTGTAATCGCCTTATTAAATATTCAACGAGTAAAATATAAAACAGATTTGAAAACAAACTTCATACTCAATCAATAGAGTTCTCGTTTTAGATCGTATTTAAATGATTGAAAAAAAAAACAAACAAACTTAAGAATACAACTAACAATTTTGTTAAATAATCAAGATTTTTTTATAATAAGTAATTATAAAGCTATTTAATTAATGACATTCTTTTCCAAGGAAACAAAATAGAAATTGAACACAGAGTTGATTTTTGTAAAAAGTACAGTGCCCGAAATTTTTACGATAATTTATTTTCATTGCTTTCTAATTTATTAATTTACTGTATATTATTTAGTAACTTCCGTAATTTATGTACTTTCTAGGCTGTTATATATGTATCAGAAGAAAAGTATGGCGATCGAAAATGATCCATCTCAAGATTTTTACATTTTTGGACTCAGGATACATTGAAACGTCGAGAAATGTAAAAAATTTGGGTTATTTTTTTTACTGTATGTATGGATGTTAGCGTGTGTGTTTGGGCAGTGTTTCTTAACATGGGGCCGCGGTCCCCTGGGGGTCCATAAGTTTGCCAGGGGGCCGCCAAATTATGCAAAATTTTCTTCAGAATATAATAAAAAGAAAATTGATGTATAACCGAATATCGTATTGAAAAGTGAAATAAGAAAGATAAATGTGTACTCTCACTCAGCACTTGTATGTAAATCAAAAAACACAACACCTTAATTTGCTGAGAAAAACTTTTAATGAAAAGCTAACGTTTTCAGCCAAATCTATTGGCCATCATCAGGCTAAGTTTTTCGAACACAAACAAATTTTGTGTTTTTTGATTTAAGAAAGATAAAGTTTTCGTATTTATTTTTATTTATTTATTTTCTTATTTCTTTCTACATACAACTTTGTTAGTACAGAAGAAATAAATGCAAATATGCTATTTACACCGCAGTATTTACTTCTTTTATTCCAAAGTAATTCTAAGAAATTATTAATGCTTGGAATTTTAAAAATAATTACGAAAAATAGTAGGCTTATAGTATAGGCTTTGAAAATTTAAATGGTTTTGCAAAAGATATGCAAAATATTTACGACAAGTTGTGGGTATTTTAGTTTTAGTTTAGTTACATATTTGTGTGAAAAAGGATTCTCAACTATGGTGGATATAAAAACAAAAAACGCAATCGATATCGATTAGATGCCTGCATGCGGAAAGAATTACAAACAATTGAACCAAGAATTAACAAAGTAGTTGAGGATATTCAGCAGCAGAAATCTCATTAAATTATTTTCGAATATTTTTTTTTTTTGTTTTTTCTATGAATTTTTAAGTGTTTCTAATTTTATTTTTTGTTAAAAATTAATGAGTTTTTATGTTTAATTGTGAAGTTTGAATATTATTTAAATAGATAATGAAATAATAAAGTTATATTTTACATTTATTATATATATAAAAAAATAAAGCAATAATAAAAAAATTAAATTATTATAGATAATTTAACAAATATAAATTATTATTTAAAAAATGGGGGTCACAAAAAAATTATGAAATATTTGGTGGGCCACGAGTATAAAAAGGTTAATAACCACTGTGTTAGGGTAATTGATGCTATTAAATTTTGGTGGTTAAAGGCCGAGGGGTGGGGAGATAAACATATCTCGAATAGAGTCTGACTTAATGACTATTTTACTCGTTTTTAGCATTTAAAATTTTTTTATAAACCCATCTCTACTTTCAAAACTAACTTTTTTGCCATTTTATAATAATTAATTGGCGCCATCAGTTGCCGGGAAAGTTGAGCAACTCGTTGCTGGATTTTCAAAAAAAATATTTATGTAAATTTAAATGTTTTATCTTTTAATCATATTCATTTAAAACCCAGTAATAATAATTTTCGAGGGACCCGAGGGTGCATTTATGCAAGAAAATAATCTTTTAGTTTCTTTATATTCTTTATCTTTTTCAATTTCTTTACTTTATCTTTGCTTCTGTATTTTCTTTCAAAATAAAAAAATCAAATTATTTTCTTACTAATTGTATCATCATCTTCTGATTTTTAGTTTGTCTATCTGCTTTTTATTTATAAGTAAACACTTAATTAAAAATAATTACGTAATGTTAACAGACTGGAGGATAGAAACAATAAAATAAATAAATATATATATACTGTAGTTATTATGAGAAGTTTCTTAAAAATTTAAGCATAAGCATTAAGAGACTTACTTTTTAAATTATATTCATCACTAGATTCGGCCAAGCCCACAAGCGATAGGGTGGTTAGAGACGGATCGCTCATGAAAAATTCTTGGGGCCACTCATCCGGATTCGATTTTGGGTTACCCAGAGGGATAGGCGATTACCCAGGCGATTAAGGCCTTAATCGCCTGGGCCATCGGACTCTGAATTGTTACGTGTTAACTAAGATTTAAAGATAAAGTCAAATAATTAATTTTAAATCTCCATGAAATTATATCTTCCAGCATTCGGATAATTAATAGATGAACTAACTAATCCGTATCATTTTAATCTATTTAAATAACTTTATATCTTTGACGCGAGAAAAAATTATAACTAGAAAACGTTTCGTTAGCATTCCTCCTATAATGTATCTAGGGCCGTTTTAACTCTTTGGGTACACAGCAATTTTTAATATTAATGTAATTAAACATAAAAAATATTTAAAACTGAAAAAAACGAAAGAAATGTGTTAATTTTGAAGAAAAAGTTTCAAACTTTATTTTCCATTGTCTCGCCTTTCTGCGAAATTTGACACCGATGAGTCATTGTGTTTACAGCTGGATGACCTTGAGAACAGCTGGTGTTGGATTTCCCGGGACATTCTCATAGAAGTCTCAGGAGGAGAAGGGTTTAAAGTAGGATGAATACTAGCTGGCCGTATACTTTTAAATATTTTTCAAAAATTACGTTTTTTATTGCGATTTCCGACCCCCGACTTAATTAAACGTATATATAATAAAATCTATCAATTAAAAAAATTAAAAAACTATTGGAGGTCGTTTTTGACATCAGAAACTAGCTTTAAATAACTTTACCGAAGTAAAATCCGTGCACTACAACTTCAGAACGATGAATTTAAATTTGATAAAAAAAAATCGCATTAAAAAACAATTAAGCGTTAAGTGTGCGTCATTAAAGGTAGATTAAAATCGCGATAAAACTTTTTCGCGTGGGAAAAAATTTTTGAAAAAATTTGGAGACTTAAAAAACATCCAAAAATCAAAAAAAAAAAAATTTCAGAGGGTCCAAACGCCCGACTTTTATGTAACGCTATGGAACTTGTCCGAGTTATCTCGGGATAATTCAGATTTCTTTGAAGACTATACAGACAGATATAGAGGGAAAAAATATATTAATAATATGCAACGAAACGAAACACTTAAAGAACTTCTTAATAGGACTTATTACACTGGTGTGGTTTCCAATTAGCAAATAGGGGCGATCTTAATTGAAAAGCCAAAACAAAATTTTGATTTGACTTTTTGACTAAGATCTCCTCCATTTGTAGAAACTTTGATCACTTTTAGAATGCAGTTTACATGTACCCGAAACATTTGTTTTGATCTTGATTCTGCTTGTGTAACTGGCCTAGGTCTACGTAAGTAGTGTTCTATGGCCTGTACGATCAGCTACAACTCGTTCCATTTTATTCCAATACCAAGAAGCAAGGTCTTCTATAAATGTATTGGGCAAAGTTCTCCTTGGTCTTTCTTTACTTTCTAAGCGAAACATAATTAAAACCAAATCTTATAAAAGATTTGATCATCTCTATTTCTTCAAATCTTTTATGAAAAATTAATTATTTCCTGAATTAAATATATATATATATATATATATATATTATATCAATATTTAATTCAGGAAATATATATAATTTGTTTATATTCGTAAAGTGCAATTTTATTAATAACCTGACTTTTTATTTACATTTTTTATTTAATCTGTTTATATTTAAAATTCTGCTCATTTCTTAATTTTCACAAATAATTAGCCTATAATTGCATTGGTGATCAAAAAGTCACTACGAATTATAGGTCTAACTATAGAAATACTCAGGTTTAGAGCTGGACTTAGATTTTATAGCTTAGGGCCACAAGTCTAACAGGCACTTAATAATTATGCATGTAAAATGTGAGGCACTAAGCTAAAAACTTATTTAGCTTATGTACAAATTAGGCCTGCTCAGGTTACAAATGCTATTGGAAATGGCTCTATTGTGCTTGCAAATGTAGTCCTTCTTGATTACTCTGCATTATGGGTCTGAACATTACAGGATAAATCAAATGCATATATTAATTATACAAACTAAAAACGCGAAATTTTTTTGAAAGAAAACAAACAGCATTTAACTTTTTGATCAAATATAACTTTATTCAATTTCACAACTACAGCTTCTAACTATGAAGAGTCATAAAAATTGACACAACCTCATATTGAATATGACCAAAAAGATATCAACATTGAATAAATACATAATATCACAAATTAAATACATATACATGGCATATTTTATAATTATTGCTGAAATTGTCGAAGACTGCAAACATGCATAGTAGTGTTTGTACACAACTGACATTCGAAACACGAAGAATTTCAGTTGTTTTTTTTTTTCTTAATTTTGAAAGAATTCTTACGTACATCTACATGAACATAATTTACTTAGAATTACAACAAAACATTTATTTGAGCAGAAGATAGGAAACTAGAAGAAATATGGTTTGATTTTTACAATGACAAATCACATATAAACATCACAATTTTCATTCCCTGATTTTTTTTCTTTTTAAAAAGGAAGTGAACAAAAATCATTTGCAGGGATAATAGGAAATCTTTCAATAATATAAAAATTTGGAAATTATTTTATTTTATAATATACACAGTATCATAAAAGTATAAATTAGGTATTCACAATGGAAGAATAATCAAAAATAGCACAAAAATTAACAATATTGAAATGCCAGCAAACTTCAAATGCTTTATGCATTCCATTTTTTTTTTTTTCTTTTAGCAACAAGCAAAATGTAAATTTGTAAACAGCTTATAACATATATATATATGCTGTTCAAAATTTTAAATTATTTTGGAATGGATTTAAAGATTTCATATCTAAGTACTAAATAAAAACAGGAACAATATTCATTAAATACATCACAGTATACTTCTTATCATTTATAATTTTCATATTGAGACTATTTCTTTTGCATTCAAAATGTTGATTTTTAAAAAATAAAAATAAAAAAAATTATATATTCTGTTTTTCAAACATTTTGATCAAGAATAGTTTTCCACATGGTTTTTTGATGATAAATTAATATAAAATTTAAAACTTTAATTCAATTTCAAAGTCCTAAATATTGTTATAAACATTTAGTTAATTAAACTGATGTATTTTTATCAATGAATGCCTTGATAAAAATACTTTTGTACAACTTTCATATATTAAAATGGTCAAATTATTTTTATTTTGATTTCTTAATTAACTTTACTCTTTAACCTAGAAAACTATCTTGAGTAAATCCTTCCAAATTATATGATTAAATCACATATTTGTATAAATGTTTTGAGCTGTATTTGAGTTTAAGTACAAATAATATATTAAATAACGACAATTTATATAATACATAATAAACTATATAAAAACATTTTTTAATTGTACAGTATGGTTCAATAATCAGATGCAGAAATAAATATTCTTGTTTTTCTCAAGTCTTTTTTAGGAATGACATTCTATAATTTAAATATGAAATAATTAAAATAAGACATTTGGACAAGGTTCAACATATCTTGACCGGGGATATGCTAAAAAGAACAACTAATATGATGAGATGAGCTCCTGTAATTGAGCCGTAATTACTTATAAAATATAAAATTTTTGATTTTACTTCAACAGAAGCTTAGAAATCTATGTTTTTATAACTTCTATAAAAACTTAATAATTTCCCATTTGCTTTCCTCATCAAATAAAATAATACGATAGGAGTTTCAAACTATATTTTTGTAAGGATATTAATTCTTTTGCTTCAAATTTTTTGAAGATTAATGCACATTAAGATTTCTATTAGTAATTAATGTTACTTTTTCTTTTCAAATTTCAATGCATTATATGCACATATTGCTGGAACATCATAATTAGTTGATGTAAAATAAATTAACACAATCTTTTTATCTAAATAATACATTGATTCAATATACATATCTTACACATTGCTGTCAAATAGAATAATCTCAAACTGGATTGTCATTAAGTGGCTAAAATATGGAATATATGATAACAATTTCACAAATTATGCACTGTTACTCTATGTATATACTACTAATTATAAAGCTTGTATAGATGAAAACTGGAAAAGCAAAAATTTCATATTTGTATTATTATACTTGGTTACAATATCAAAATCAAATTTCTGACTGCCAGTTTCAAAAAATTACACACATTCATAGGATATCAAGCATGTTTCTTGAAGCTGCATTGAAAACAAAAATGTTTTTCAACAGAGTGAATTCACGACGATACACTTCCTTAGTCGGGATGCATATTTTTTCATTTATAGTTTGAGTTGGATTTGAACAAGTATGGATATTGTCATCTCCCACATAACCATATGCTTATGGTCTTGAATAGTAAAAATATTCCATAGGAATTTAAACTTATTTGGTCTTGGCATTTGCCATTTGAAGAGATAATGTTCTTGCACCACACAAGAAGTCAAGCTCAGTTATTTCACAGAGAGAAGAAAAAAACACAAAAAACAAATACTGTTATGAGAAAAATGTTCCTGTTACTTACTTTATAATGTTTTAAAATGCATGAAAGTGATTTCATCACTAGTCAGAGGGGACTATGAGTTTGAAGATAAAGTAAAACCCGATGTAAAACTTCTAAACGACGTCTTAGAGATGTCATAGCCAAGACTGCTATCTGTGCCTTTGGATCTAATGGAAGAATTGCAAGCATCCACCAAAACCATGATGGTCCATTCTGACTATTTAAATAATCTTCTTCTACTGATGGCATTTGACCAAAATGTTCTAATACTCTCCTCTTGATGTCTGATGGAAGTCCGATAAACCACATTTCTGCTTTCCTATGAACTTCATCATGCAATTGGGATATTTCTGAAAAGTAATTTAAAATTAGATAATGTAATATAGTAAAATAATAAAATCATATTTAATATAAATTAAAAAATTATATAAAACTTTAAAGAAATTAGAAGTTTTAAATTATTGTCTGCTTTATTATGATATTTAAACATTTATTAATGGTAGCACACTAGTCAGAGAAATGCTCAAACATATAGTAAGACAGAAAATGCTTTTCTCAAAATGATTCTGAGTTTTCCCTCTGAAAAAGGCACTTTATAACTTTTTAATTTGACCATTGAATTTCTGATATTTACAAATAAATTATTATTTTACTTACCATCTCTTTCATAATCCTCTGGAGGAACATCAGATAAAAATTCTACTGCTCCAGTGTGATAACCATCTCTCATGCCAGTATGCAATACTCTAAACCTTTTACTTCCAATGGTGTCTACAACTGCCCGACCATCTGGAAAATATTGAACTTCACGAATTTCCAGCATTGTTCCATGACTTGCAATTCTACCAAAAAAGAAAGTAGAAAATTAATTTGTTGTTAATTATTATTAACTATTAATCAATTATATTATATATTTGATAACAATAAACTTGCAGCATAAAGATATATTTTTTCTTTTCAAATATGAATTTATTACAACAGTATATTAATATTATGTACAGTACATTTGATATAATAGTTTGCAAAATTACAATATCCAGTTCTAGTAATATTAAAACTAAATAATATACTTTAATATTGTACTTTACAATAATGTATGATATAATTTTTATTGTTAAGAAAATCAAATGGTGCATTCACTTGTTTGGAAATGTAATGTATATAGTTTCTTAAGAAAAAAGAATTTTAATAAAAATACTTTTATCTTTGAGACTCTAAAGAAATATTAATGTGAAAAATATAAATTAAGAATAGCTCACAATAAATATTTTATAAGATATTCTTATCTAAGATAGAACATGAACTACTATTGAACTTATTTTTGAAGATTAATTCTATGGAAGGAGTAAACAACACGTGTCATATATAAACAACCATAGGTCACTTGTGGTCCTTACAAATGTTTTGATCAGCCAGCTGTCTGACTTTGATTAAAATATTTTTATATTATTGATTTTTCAGATGAATTCCCTTCACAGTATATAAAAAACATTTTACAATGTAGCATTTTATATGAATTAAACATCAATAATGTTTTCATTCAAAATGACAAATGAATTAATTTAGAATTTGAAATCAAATCAATCTTTATTTGTAAAAAGGCAGCTGCCTGTTACATAGGATGTAGATTAATATCAAACAATTATTTATTAATACAGAAGTAAAATCATCAAAACCAATTTAAACTAACTTATTCATCCAACCTCCGATTACAACTTATTGTAAAACATGTATAATAAACCAAAACTGAGTAGTACATCTCTCTTTCACAAACAATTACTCTTTGCCTTAAGTAATGTACTTATAAACCTGTTGTAGTGCTTAATACTAGTATTTAGTACTTTTATCAACTAAACATTGAAATTAGTTTCTAATTGAAAATAATTAACATATTTTAACATTTAAGATTTTTTCGCAAATAAGAATTCTTGAACATAATTATATAACCTGTAGATTGTGCCTATCTTTGCCCTATCAAAAACTTCATACATAGCTCTTTTATTAGAGCATTTTGATAATAAGATTAATTTAGAATTTAGTAATGATAAGTATAGTTGATAACAAACTACTGTTAAGATCTTATGATAGAATACTTGATAAAGATAAACCATAGGAGCTGAATGTTTAATTAATTATGAGATTTATACACTTAATCCTAAAAAATAGTTAATTTTTCCAGTAAGATTTATGAATAAAGATTTACTAATTTATTGATTTAATTTCATTTCCACATGTTTTATGTATAAACCATAAACTGGAATTTCTATCAAAATGCTTATAAACTTAAGATTAATTTCATCTTTTGATAATAATTTCCATATAAGTCATTCTTAAATCACATATTTGTATAAATGTTTTGAGCTGTATTTGAGTTTAAGTACAAATAATATATTAAATAACGACAATTTATATAATACATAATAAACTATATAAAAACATTTTTTAATTGTACAGTATGGTTCAATAATCAGATGCAGAAATAAATATTCTTGTTTTTCTCAAGTCTTTTTTAGGAATGACATTCTATAATTTAAATATGAAATAATTAAAATAAGACATTTGGACAAGGTTCAACATATCTTGACCGGGGANAAAAAAAAAAAGTTTATATTACTGTTTAAGAAAATTAAACTTACCAATAAAAAGTTATGTATATGCTAATACTAAATACATACTAACTCAATAATAAATGCTGAAGCTAATATTATTTACTATATAATACATAATCAAAAATAATTGTATGAAAATTTAAATATTGTAATAAATACATTCATAGATATATCATGTCTGCAAATAATTTGGTGATGATCATTATTCCAAATAGGTTGTGTCATTGAACTGTGCCAAATTTGAAAAAAAAAAAGTTTATATTACTGTTTAAGAAAATTAAACTTACCAATAAAAAGTTATGTANTAATATATTTATTAGTGAAGTAAAAATAATGAAGAATATATATTTCATAACATAAAAATGTAATTAAAAATGAAAGTTTAGTGATAATTATATAACCCGCTTTTGCTGTCACAAGTATAAGAATTACAGAAATTGCAATTTTTAAATATCCTAATACAGTATTCTTATAGTAATTCTGAATATCAGTTTTCACAAAAAAAAATTCTTTAGATTTCAAAATCATAAGTATAAAAAGTGAGAAAAACAGTAAATAAATGTGTGTCAACTGGCATCAAGTGATAGAATTGTATATCATTGTTTTTATTTTAAACTGTTAAAAAATTATTCTAGAAATAATGTTAATTGATATTATTTGAAAATGAAATTATATTTTTACTAGGCTATACATTAACATTAAAATAATGTAAGAGAAAAGTACCCATTTTCTGAATCTTCCATAAATGCACACATGCCAAATTGATTTGTTCCAGATTCCATACTCTGACGAATCATTAGTCGATACCTTGGCTCAAATGCATGTAATGGACAAGGCACCATGGGAAATGCAACTGTGCACAGAAACAATGGAATGACATGTTCTGGATCTTTTCCAGCACTGAAAATTAATAAAGAAAATTAAATATAACAAAAAATTTTGAAAAGACATTTTCTATATTTTTGATGTCTTGAAATAAATTGTAATCTTAGTTCAAAAATAAAAAAAAAACATTTTTTAAGATATTCACAGTTCCTTTACATCAAGTGATTATTCTTTTGAATCATTTCTTTAATATTTTTAATTCTTATTAAAAATTAAAATATAACATAATTTGTAGTTTATACATTATACTTTTCACAAAATACTAATATAATCATGCCAGAAATGTAGCTATTTATTTTCTTTATGTAATACAGTATTTTATTTGTTTGAACACATTATTATATTTATATATTTTAGTATTATATAAGTTTATCAAAAACTATATAAACAGAAAATAATTACTGATCTATGCAATTGTTAATTAAACATTATATCTTATAATGTTAATCTTCAGACCATATGTTACTTTTTTAGTAAATAATTGTTTTAAGACGTAAGTGATACCACTACTTATATAAAATTTTTCAGTCTTATTATTAGCTTACCTTCATTATAATAAGAAAAACAATAATAAAGGAGAAAATGTTTCATATTAATAAATTTGAAACATTCATTAGGAAAACTTTCATTAAAAGAAATCATTAAAATGCATTTTAGATCAACAGCAATATTTTTTTTTATATAATATATATCAGTGAATATATATATTTAGCAAAATATATCAGTGAAAAATTTTATTTAATCTTTTGTAGTATATTATTACAATATGAGGTAGTGAATATATTTTGTTAATATAAATATGATCTTGTGAAATTATTGTTAAAGGGTTGGCAAATATTATAGTTATGTGACTCAATTAATTTAAATTCAAAAATATATTTTTAAATGATATAAGTGTTTTAAAAATGCCTCCACCTATAATATTAATCTTGAGACTGTTTAAAAGTATTTGAAATATTGATGATACACAGTTTTCAAATTACAATGTAAATTGCAAATTTTAGTTTTTATTTCTAAAAGATTTTATATAAATTATTTATTTTAATCATTAAAAGAACATTAAAACTTTATCAAAATAATGATGAACGACTAAGAGATACTTTTCTATCATTTCATTTAAAACAAATATAAAATGTATTATTCTTTGAAAGAGAATATAAAATTTATTAAATTTATATATGATGGAATAGAAAATGTACTTATTTGAAAATGCTTTAATCAAATAAAGAATTTTTAAAAAAAAAGAAATATTGAAAAATATTGTTATAAGTATTTAGTAC